GTGACTGCTCCAAAGATAATATCTTCCGCCCGTGGTTATAGAACTTATATGGCTGACGAGTCTGAAAGTTTTCATAAATAAGAAATAATGGTACAAGTTATAAATTTCCAATGAAAAAAAGAAAGAAACAATATGAGTAATGTTACCTCTCCATTCCATACATGTTTGGCAGTCAGCATACCCTAACAGCAGGGACATATCTGAGGGACCCCTTGGGAAGCCATCAGGCTCATCATCATTGTTGTCACCAGCATCCCCCGGTGATGGGTCACCCTCTGGAGGTGGCATCAGATCAACATCAGGAGAAGAACCAGGAGTATCCCGACGAGGCATGCGGGAAGACAAGGCATGTGATGAACCCTCAACTGAATCCTGACGCCTCCGGGATTAAGAAGTGGATGATGGGGTGGGATACGAGGTCGAGGGAATATCCTGGGCATGTGCCTCAACTGTATCGGCCTCAGTAACGGTGGCCTAGCTCCGCTCACATCTCACAGATGCATGTTGTAAAATCAGTCCAAGTCGCAATCTATCTTCTCTGTCTGCCATAACATCTGCAAGGTATAACCAATAAAAAACAATTAGATACAAATAAACTAAAAAAGAAAAAAGAAAAAAAATAACATTTTTTTTACTTCCGAAAGTATACATGCGAAAAAACCCAAAATTCAGAAAGTTAGACTTGTTCCGGAGCCGCATCTACGGAATTGCTCTAACGTTAGTTTTTCCGTAGATGTAGCTCCAAAACTTCATGCAACTCCAACAACAACGTCAATGGCGTCCCCCACCCATAAAAATCGGTTTTTTGAACCCTTGATCGCCCGTTTCAGCCAACAAACATTACCAACATTGTCTCTAAACTATGTTTCTAAAACCATATAACGATTTCTACCCCTAAAATTGTATTATAACTCGTTTACTGGAAATATTCGAAAATACCTTGGAAACTCGAGTTTTGAGTAATTTAGAGTGTCTTGATCGTTGAGATGAATGCTCCTTGTCGAACTTGATAACAATTAAGTTTGGTGGAAATTTTTTTTTTAAGGATTGAGAGAGTTTGAGAATGAGAAGTTAGAAAGTGAAGAATGAAGGAGGAGAAGAGACTCTGGCACGGATGTATTCTGATTTATTCTGGAGCTATATAAACGGAAACATTCCGAAGATGTAGCTTCGGAAAAAACCAACGTTAAGTAAAAAAAAAGGTGCATCCAAAGATACATCTCCGAAAGCAGGGAGTATTTTTGGAAGCACACATTGTGCCTAAGAACCCCAAGGGGTGGGGGTAAGAAATTATCAAATATTTCTACTGCGGAGATCAAAATATTATGTTTGGAGTCGGGTCTAGGTTGCAGGTAGGGGTGGCAAACGAACATGCCCGTCCAATTTAGGTTTGCCCCGCAAATGCCTGCAAAAACGGGGCCTGATGGGGCGGTCATAGTTGAAGATGGAAAATTTTACTTCATACTCATACCATTATCCCTTTACCCCAACATTTTTTTAATATTCCAATTATAGCCTTTTCATTTATCAAATAATTTTATTATTTAATTTTTATCATTTTCTGATATGGATTTTTTCTTCACCAAATGACTTACAATAAAGTTTTCCGATATGTATTTTTTCTTCACCAAATAACTTGAAATCAAGTTTTTCAGTATGTATATTTTCTTCACTTAATAACTTGTAATCAAGTTTTCCGGTATGTATTTTTTCTTCACCAAATAACTTGTAATAATGTTTTTCGGTATGTAACTTTTCTTCACTGGTTAAATTACATACCGGAAAACTTAATTGAAAGTTATTTGGTGAAGAAAAAATACATACCGAAAAACCTGATTGCAAATTATTTGGTGAAGAAAAAATACATGTCAGAAAACTAGATTGCAAATTATTTAGTGAAGAAAAAATACATACTGAAAAATTTGATTAAAAGTTATTTGGTGAAGAAAAAATACATACTAGAAAACTTGATTGCAAGTTATTTGGTGAAGAAAATATACATACCATAAAATAATAAATTAAAAATTAAAAATTATTTGATAAGTGAAAAAGATAGAATTGGAATATCTTAAAAAATGTAGGGGTAAAGACATAATAGTATGAGTATGAGGTAAAATTTTCTTGAAGATGAGGGTTTAAAAACTAGGCCCACTCTGCAAAAAAAGTGAGAGCGGGAAAGAGAAAGCCTGCGGGCACTGCACCTTTTAAGCCTAAAAATGCAAAATTTTATGTAAATGCTCGTACTCGCAAAAGCCCGCGAAGAAAACGGGGCGGGCGGGGCGGATACATTAGAGGGTGAGAGCCTAAACCCTTGGCCCTACGGGTCAGGGCCGTTTTGCCACCCCTAGTTGGAGGTGGCAAAAAAAGCTTTCACTTAGGAGGAGGTGCATGTGACATAGTGTCAGTCTTTGTTAGATAACATGTTGTAGGAAAATGTTGTTTGCCTTTAGGAGTGGACCCTGGTCGTGATATTGGTTAATCGGTTAAAGGTGAATATAATAAACTGATTAAAATAAGAGTTTATTTGAAACAAAATCACACGACTTAAAGTGTTTTTTTAGAGCAACGATGGCTAATAATTATGTGTCTGTTTGAAAGACATTAATGCTCATGTCCTTCACTTTTGTGGATCACATTCTTTTAGTAAGAAGACTCATAATGGTTTCAAGTAATGCTTTCAAATTATCTGATTGGCGAGTATTTGAGTTATCCAAAAGGAAAGAAATTGATGTACGTCCGACAACAAATAATCAATACTTTTAAATTTGGTTGAATATGTCAATTTTTTTTAATGGAGGAGGCCAAAGACCAAATGATGAGATACTTTAGTCGATCTTAAGTTTTTGGTGAAATAATCCATCTAAGATCTTGATGCAATAATCCATTGATTAATATATGATATTCATTTTTGTTTCTTTTCCCTTTTTGTCCCACATTGTGCTTATGAGGATTTGTTTGACCTTTTTTTTAACACAAACATCAATTGATTAAAAGGGAGAAAAAGGAGCCATAGAAACAATGTTATCTTCCAACAAAGGAATGTGACCAAACTAAGTTCTAGATCCTACAAATTTGCTTACTCCCACAATGTGGTCCACATCTACATTACAAAGTCTATTCAAGTACATAAGAGTCACGAATTTGAATTCTCTTAGGAGAATCTTACAATCATTCACTATTGGATCCGAAGTAGCAGAAAAACTATTTCCATTAATACAATCAACCATAACTAGATCATCTGATTGGAAAATAACATTGTCTAACTTTAACTCCTTGGCCAACTGAAGAGCCTATCTGATGGTGAGAACTTCGACCGTGCTAGCATCAACATAACCAAAGAATCGATTACAAGTGGCAAGAGAGATGTCAACAATAGAATTTTTAATGACACAACCCAAGGACACCAATCCATCATTGAAACACTTTGCATCAGATTCAATTATTCAAGAACTACTAACATGAACCATATTCTACAATGAAATCTCCTTATGCAAATCTATCTTGTTTACCCTATTAAATTCATGAATAAAGTCTCAGACATCCTAGGCAAAAACCTAAGGGTACGACACCTCTTGCTTGAACACAACTGTATTTCTAGCTTGCCAGATTTTCCATAACCCAGTACACACGAATTGGGCTAAATAACTATCTCTACTCTTGAGAGATCCAGAGAGCCATTCAAACACACCTGAACAAGATGGAAAACACATGCCCACAGGGGGAGAGAAGAAGACTCTCTTGGAGAAATCATAGTGCAAGAAGAGATGAAACGACTTTTCAGGGGAGAGATGACAGAAAAGATAGGAAACATCTAACTTGATTCATTTCTTGTTGAGATTGCAGTTAGTTGGGAGGATTTTTTGGAAAACCTCCAAGTGAAACTTTTAACTCGCTCATGGACTGGAGTTTTCTATAGATAATTCTACACTACATAATCATTACTTGTTGACGGACCTGGTTTGCTTCTTCTATCGAGATCACCAAGCAAGTGGTAGGCCATTTTGACTGAATATTACCATCCTTTTCGAAGTGCCAAATCAACTTATCATCTAGTAACCTGGTCGAGAGAGGGATCCTGGCTATATGTTTTGCCTCACTGCGATTGAAATTGGCCTTGAGAGCTTCCATGTTCCACTTTCAAATTTCATGTCAATCAAGTTGCAGACCTTATCATCAAGACCCATGGAACTATTAGAGCTTAGAGGTTTAAATCTAGGGATTGTTGGAACCCAGTTATCCTTCCAGATTTGAATAATCTCCCCATTTTCTATTCTTCACTTAGAACTTTTAGAGACAACATCTTTAGCACTTAGAATACTACGCCAAACATAACTAGGCTTAATCTCCAAAATTGTTTTTCCATGAGGCTAGTGTCGAAGTCCATGATTCCTCTAAATCCTATGCCACCCACAACTTTTTCTTATGACATTCTCTCCCAGCTCATCCAGTGAATCTTTCTCTCCTAGTTTTAGACCCTCGTCAAAACTTTTCCAGCATCGATTTCATTACAGCAGTGTTCAGGAATTCTGTAGCAACTCATGATATATGTTGGAATTGATTGAGCATTCGTCTTGATAAGAACATCTTTCCCTTCTCTAGATAAAAAATCTTCCTTCCAACCTTTCACTTTCTTCCACAATAACTAAAGAGAAAACTTATTTCTTCGACTTACCAAAAATCACATAGAAACCCAAATACTTAAAAGTGTCTGATAACCACCATATATCCCATCTTATTACAAATCAACTCTTTAGTACCTTCACACACGTTTCCACTAAAAGACACTTCGGACTTTTCAATGCTCACCACCTATCCGAAAGCTTGTTAAAAAAAATTATGGTTTTATAATTATTTTTTTAAAATTTCCATTCTTAAATATTAAAAATAAAAATCCATTTTTTTCTCTTGATAATAACAATTCCCACTCTTAAACCTCAGGCAGGGTATAGCTGTAAAAAAGGCTACGGCCGAGGAGGAGGCGGAAAGAAGTGAATGGAGAGATGGTTGGGAGCGGAGCGCCTGATTTCTTCTACAAAGAGGCTCAACGCCTAGGCTACGTTGCTCGCTCGGCGTTCAAATTGGCTCAGATACAGAGACAGCATAACTTAATCAAACCCGGTTCTTCCGTTCTCGACTTGGGCTGCGCTCCCGGTTCATGGCTTCAGGTCGCTTGTCAGAGCTTGGGGCCATTCCATAACGGTGGCTTCGTTCTCGGCATCGACCATAAGAAAGTTAAAGTCCCTCATCTTCACTGTGATTCCAGGGTTCAAACTGTTTCTGCTGATGTCATGACCCTCCCTAAACACCAACTCAGAGACCTTTCTCCTAAGGTTAGTTTTCATCTAACTCGAACACCGGTAACACGACTAAGACATATCGACACCAATAATAATTCAAAAAATAATAAATTAAATGTAATCACAATGGTCAGAGTTAATGTTGGTGTTACTGAGATTTTCATTGCTTACTTGCTCTATGTAGTTACAACACACAATTAGCTAGTTAGTTAGTTAGTTACAATATAGTTAGTTAGTTAGTTACAACATAGTTAGTTATAGTTAGTTAGTTACCACTTAGTTACAATATAGTTAGTTAGTTAGTTACAACATAGTTAGTTAGTCCTAAGTCCTAACAATGTGTTTTTGTTTTTTCTTTCTGCAGCAAAAAGGATTTTCTGTAATACTCTCAGACATGTGTCCGTTGGTTTCTGGAATCACGACGAAAGATGCTGCTTTGTCATTTGAGCTAGGGATGCGAGCATTAGATTTGGCTGTTGGCAGGGTTGGTTCTGTTTGTAATTCCGATGCTGATAATCAAGACAAGGAGCCATGTGATGATCCATCGAGTTCAGATGACAGGGGAGTGTTGCGAGTTGGAGGCCATCTTGTTATCAAGCTTTTGGAAAGTGAAGATGCCAAAGGTGGTTTTGTGGTTTCATTTTTTTCCGGAACAAACTAGTGTCGGTTTATTTGGTTGTGTATATGTTATTTAATGAACCGGTTTGATATCTTTGTTGCAGAAATCAGCCAGATTTGTAAACCATTGTTTGCCAAGTCGTCGTGGTTGAGACCTAAAGCCACTAGACCTTCGTCGAGAGAGATCTATTTGATATGTCAAGGTTTAAAGCCGGAAATAAAGATATAGGTTGTTTCATGTGGTTAGTCCTGGTGAATGTTTTGCATGAGCAGAATGCAAATTCATGTAAGTTGCAACCGTCAAATCGTCAAATCGTGGCTATAGTAGCTTTATAGCTCCCACTTTAGTGTTGTGGCTATAGCAATGTAACAATGACTTGAAACTGTTTTTTCCTTCTATTTTTTTGTCTTTTTAATTTTAGGAACACTGTTTTCTCTGTTTCTAAGCTCAAGCGAGCTTCAATTCAAGCTCATTTTTGGATTTTACAGGAACTTCTTATTCAGGTATTGCCTACTCATATTCGTTGTTAAATGAGGATAGTTAATTTGTTTGTAAAATGCTGAGTAACTTGTGGCGGAACGCGGACGTGTACTTTTATGCTCAGCATATTCTCGATCTGATTGTCATATTATGATTATGACAAAGGACGGGCTTTGGATAGTTGGTTCTTTGTGAGCAATAAAATCAGTTTCGTCGAGTGTAATTTGCTTCACTGGAGCAAGTTAAAATGTGATATTTGTAACAAGCTTCTAAAGAGTAAAATCCAAGGTTATGATCACAAAGTACTCAGGTTAACCTTTACCTTGCCTATCCTATGAAACACTAATTATCATATCATTGAGTTTGGTCCTTAATTGTTTTCAAATATATATTCTTTCTCTCATTTGTGTTCATCTTTTTTCTTCTCTTGCTTTAGAAAACAAAAATCACCACCATCCATCATGAACCATCAAACCCTTTTTTCTTCTTCTTGAGAAACAACAGTCATTGTTATAATTATTTGATCTTACTAGTCAGGTACGATGCGCTGGTAGTATGTAGATGTAATGCACCAAAATGCATCATGAACTACCACACTTCTTCTTGAGTAAGAACAATCATGTTACACTTATTTGATTTCAAATGATTAGTCATGTCATCATCCTTTTGCAAAGATGCCTGCTGGTATGTGGTTGGAATGCACAGCTGGGTATTGTTGATGTCTGCTATGTGGTGCTCGACTTTGTGGTATCACCTAGGTACACTGATGGAAAATATGCATTTCCCCCCCTAAATTTTCATTGGGATTGTTTTGTTTGCCAGGATAAAATAAAAACAAACTAATTGGGTTGGGCTGAGTTATCGACTTAGTCGAGTTAACTTGTACATTTGAATTAGGGAATTTTATCCTATTCTATGGGATAGAAAAACACTGTGAAAAAGTTAAAATGTCATTCAAATTTCGGAGATGCACATCCGGATGTACATTGTTTTAAATCAAAACGTTACAACTGATCTGGAAATGCATTTCTAAAGTATTTTAAAACACACCCCATGCATCCCTCTCTGAAAGACCATTTAAAACATTTATTGATCTGAAGATGCATCTCCGTTTAGGGTTCATGGAGATGCATCTTTGTAACTAGTTAACAGTGCATGTTAAGTTAGTTTTGTGGTTATTACTTAGATAAAAATGAAGATTTATAAATGTTAAGACCCATGTTATGTAATGAGCATTAAATCATACATCTGATATGCAAAAAATGACATACACAAATCTGAAGTCAAAGTAAGTCATCATGATGGTTTTGAGGTGAGGGAGGTCATAAATGTCATTATAACGGAGGTGCGAGAAACATTGATGTATCGGAGACAACGTCGGAGAACAGGGGGGCAAAGGCGCCTGAGGAGCTCTAGTATGTCATATACAGTAGTTGATAGTATTTGTAGTTTGTAATTATGCTCAATTGTTTTTTATTTTTACATATTTCGACTTTATTTTGTAAGTCATAATGACTTATCGTGCCTACGCAATCTCCACAATATGACGCCATCTAGACAACACATTATGAGCATGATCTTACCTAACCCACTTCTCCTTTAGTATTTTCTAATGAGCTAGCCTCGGTGGAACTCCTAGAGCATCCTGCACCATATATGGATGCGATACCGTGCAGAACCACATAATGTACTCGTCTACATAGCTCCAGTTGATCGCATCTATGGTACTCCGTGCCTCCTCTGGTACTAGATGACTAAGATAATCATCAAACCTGACATCTATATCTCTACGACTTATAGCAGATGAAGAAATTCTCTAGGTGTAGCCGAAACTCCGCATGATGCGCTCAGGCAGATGAAGAAATGTCAGACGTGAACCACAAGCCAACCATCCCGAGTATAACACTATGTCGTTAAATGGACGCGTCTCATGATGATCGACATAGCTGTTAAAGTGCATATTCCCTGCTACCAAGCAGTCAAGATACACTCGAAACGACTCTATCGCCTAGTTCCTTTTAAGCGGCGCAAATGAGGAAACACCCGACATATCCTCAATATAGGTCGTTATACACGACCAGTCGAAGATGCGTGGGAAGTGTTGCCGGATTCAATCCTGAAAAGTGTCGAAACACAAGAATCATTAGTAAGGGTGTTACACAAATGTAATAAAAATGACACACAAACACTAAAACACCAATAAATATTATCGTCAAAAGTGTGATGCTGCCTGTCACTCGCTTCATCTTCTACCTACAACCCTCTGATAACTTAGAATACAAGTAGACCAAACAAGTGGCCCCCTGAGTTGTACTCATGGATCCACTCAAAGTCCTCAAAGTATCGTAGGTAGAGGACATCCACATAAGTGACACTCTTGTCCACAAAAATGCCAGTGCCAACCAAATATAACAAGTATGCTCTCATAACATACGGTCTATGCTGCCTCTGGGTCAACTTCTAAATAGTCTACCATCAACTCAAGTGCCTCATGTTTCCTAATCCTTCTATGATCTAAAAGCTCTCCCCTAATCGAAAGATGTAGTAGACACGACACATCGTCGAGTGTGATAGATATCTCACCAAGTGGTAGATAAAAAAATGAGAACTCAGTATGCCATCTCTCTATAAATGTATTAAGCATCATGTGGTTCACAGTAACATAATCGGGATGCATAAGTCCTTCATCCTAGATAGGGACAAAACAACCTGAAACCACTCGTCATAAGGCTAATGCAAGCCATAATCTTCCGCCCATGTTAATGAATTTCAGCAGATCACGGTCATGCAGAAAAATAAATCACAGTCAGAAACTTGTAATATAATAATAAACATAATTTAAAAAGAATGAATCCAAATAATTTCACCTTTCGGTCCCAGATATGTCTGACAATATGTTCAGGATAAAAAGTCAGTAGGGACAACTCTAACGGGCCTCCTCCAAATACTTAAGGTGGCACTAGTTCATCAGCTTGAGGTCCCTCTAGTACCTAGCGTGGCACTGATGCCTCAGGTACCACCGGTGACTCAGGTACCTCTAGCGCATGAATGAGTGAAATTTGTCGCCTACGAGAAGTTGGAGGCAATGATGTGTCATTAGGTGACACCCGTCTCTTATGAGAAGAAGAAGGTGGAGATATATGAGTCCCAGAAGTCGATGCCTCCGAATCAATCGGGCTAGAGGGAACAAGAGCCTCTGAAACTTGGCTCTTTTCTCTCCAAACAAATGCATGTTGTGCAATCCTCTCGTGCTTGAGTCTATCGTCTTTATTAGCTGTAATGCATGTAAGTAAACTAGACAAGTGTCACACAATTACTACAAGAAACCCCAAGCAAGAAAAAAAATAGACAGATGAATTACGGAGATGTATCTTCGATTCTTAGGAATCTAAACGTTGAAAAAATACAGATACATCTCTGGAATTTCCTGCAACTTTCACTTTCGTCAATGGCGCTAATGCAGACCACCAAACCCCCAAAAATAATGCATTAGTCGTTACATCTAACTGTAAAACACATTTCTCACCATGTATCAACTATCAAATATGCATAAACTATGTATTTAAATACCTAATCATCAATTTCTACAACTTTATACAAAAACTCAAAAGTTTACAATAATAAAAACTTATAAGAAATGAGGAATCTTTAAAGTTGATGTAGTTGAATGAGCTCTTTGATGTCGTCCGGTGATGATTGAAGAAGCTTTGATGTTGCTTAATTGATTTTGAGACAATGAGATTTTAAGAGAGTTTTAGAGAAAATTTTGTTTTTTAACAAGTGAGAAAGAAGAAAGGTTCAGACGCGTTATGTACAGATAGCGTCCGAAGATGTGTTTCGTAATGTTTACGAAGATGCATTTCTGTAGTTTTTTCACATTAAGTCGAACTTCTATTAACTTAAAGTACGTCCGAAAATACATCTCCAAAATTTAAATGCATTTTTATATTTTCATGTGGGATCCTAATAATACATATGGTGCATTAAAAAATCTCCATTGTATTTTATTTCCATAATTCTATGAACATTTTTTATTTATTATACATTAGAGAAATTTGATAGGTTTCTAGCCAAAATTAAACCGATGAAAACTAAAGAAATAGATAATTGGAATAAGAAATGAAATTAGCTAACTTGATATGGGAAATTATATAGGTTTCACATCAATTGAGGGATCCACTATTTTTCATCTACTAAATGAAGGAGTGGTAGAGATTGACAAAAATAGTGTTTGTAATCTTCTTTAAAATGATATACTCTATTTTATTGAACGAAGAAAAGAAAAAAAAAAAAAACAGTTTTCGAATGAAGACCATCAACAGTCTAAATCATAATGAAAATTAAATTTTCCCTTTAGAATGGAAATTTTAGCATATTTAAGATTAGAATTAGTATCAATGTATTCATTAATTTTTTTTTTTTATGATTAATAATTCAATGAATATCCATAAATAAGAATAGTAGTTGTTAATTATCTATTTCTTCGGATAAAAATAAGGTGAACACTCTAATATTTTTTAATTTAATTGAATATTAATATCTTCTCTCAATCAAATGAGAACATTTAATACCATATAATTTTATTTGAAAAAAAATTAAATTTTAAATCAATTAATATTAAGAATACTGCTATCCAACTATAAATAAATGTACCATTAATCTGTTTAAAAATAATTTGTTTGTGTATGGATAGAAATCACACATCAGATTTTACAAAAATCTAAGAAATTACATAGTTTCAAATTCAT